AGTTGGCATATTTTTTCTCACCAGTATATCTTTGACAATTGGCCACACTTGGTGGTATTACATAATCCGGAATCTTCATTCCGTCACTTCAGGAGATCGGCGCAGTCTTAGTCAACAATGGAAGGTGGCGAAATACCAATACCGATAAATGAATGGTATATATCCGACAAGTTCTGCTTCAGGTTGTAAATAGGGAATACATCGAAACAATACAAATATGAGGAAATGCGGCTCTATGAACGATTTTGAGATAGATCCAGCGTCTCCAGACAATCGCGTTGTAGAGTAATTAGTATGGAAAGTGGACTTCACAGAGCATCAAGCACTGCCCCAGGTAGTGGCGTTGTTTTCTCAGGAAAAGAAGTGACAACAATTAGCAGTGCACAGAAACTGTAGAGAGAGGGATGCGCATTACTTTGCATGTCGAAAACGAGGTGACATAATGTTGGAATGGGAGTAAGCTTGATGGTTTAACAAAACGAGGAAGATATTATTCCGACAGTTTGCACATGTTATCTTTCAGTTGTCCCAGTGTCCCTATACTTCAACTACTTCTTCATACATTGACTCCACTCTGCAGTGCAGTTTCGTAAGTTCTTTGACTTGCAACACAGTGAGAGCCATCAGAGATGCGAGTGACGGGAGTTGAATAGATTGACTTGGGACCGGTCAATCGGTGGATAAACAAACATCCAAACTTCGGACAATATGGATGGAATATGAGTGGGTACATGTTCCAAAGTGTTGCCACCATGTCTTCCTGTGCGTGTGTGTGTGTGTGTGTGGAGAGAGAATCTATATCGAATCGTTGAGGAGCGTCCGTAGACGCGGAACTCGATTTGGGGTGACACATTGGATGAGGCGGACACAGGGGGCACTTGCACAACGACATTGAGGAGGGGATAAACCCGCAAACTCACATACACAGAGAGTGAACATGCTGTAGTGTCCAACGTCTGATGAGCCGCAAAGTGCCGAATGGTGATGGGTCAGGAGATTTTCCTATATACGACATGGTTCCACTGTAGTCATGATTGTTGTAACGCCAGCTGATTGCCAGACACTGATGCGTCGGTACTATTGGATTTCAGGGTGGTGCAGCGGCGGGTCATGGAAAGGATGATGGACTGACTGGAGGTGAGCGCAGGGTATTTTTCTGCTATGTTTTCATCATGATGTGTTACCTACATTGTCCGAGTTATGACGTGTATTTCCTCTGAATCTATTGCTTTTCACTGCATGAGTGTTCCATGTATTTGTTATTGATATTGCAGTTTTCGGCGATTCCTCCAGAAACTCCCATGTCGGAAAGTATATTTTGTAAGCTACCAATTGCACTTTCGGGACAATACCGGTTATGAACTGCCTGATAGTGAATGTATAGTCTTTTTACCTTAATTCAGGACCAGCCTAAGAAGAAATTTTTACCTTCTTAAGTGTATATATATATATATATATTTTTGCAACAGTCTATGAATAGACATTGCACCATCGGAAACCATGGAACTCAAAACAAGGTACAAAAATAGTAAAAGAAAATACAACACAACACATCAAAGTCCACGGTTTCGTCAGAGGGCGAAATACTACCCGGTTGCCCAAGCCGAAGTAGGGTGTTGACTTAGGGGACACCACCCCGAGCCTTTGGCTGAATAGCCTGTCCGCAAGGCAGCGGAGCGAATTCAGGGAATCGCGCCCATTGGGAGCCGGTGACTGATTGCTCAATTCATACGCCTTTCGTTTGTTCCTTTGCCAAACAGGGGCCCAATGCTCCCCGAAATTACAGCAACAACTTGCTGGAATACAATGCTTCGCCAGAATGAAGCAAGGGGCAGTGACTTTATTTAGTGGCGAGTCACGTCCTCCACGTCACAGTGTTGTTAAACGGACATATGTGGCTTTTTATAGGGAGAACGCTTGCCAGGCGAAAACCCACCACGTCCTGGAACACTGCCCCCGAACCATTTGCTGGAACGGGAAAATCCCGAACCACCCAGCTGGCACCACGAGGAGGTTGTTCGGCAAGCCAGCCCCTTCTTAAGTGTGGCTCCATATGGAATAAGCTACCAAAAGTGATTAGATGTATTGAACATTTTTGCATGTTCAAGAAAATGACAAAGCTTTATCTGTCATTTGACAGATTGGAATGCATCTTAAGAACTCAATGTGATGATAAGAAGCTGTATGGAGAAGAGCCGGATCGTGTATGATACCGGAGAACATCGACCGGAAACATGTTATACAAGTGCACCAGCGTAAACTTGATCATCTAGGTTGAACTGTTACAACCGATTTACATGCTATTCTTTAACGCGACTTCTTATGTAGTTTTATTCTTTTCAAACTTAATTCATACCGTCTTTTGATCTGAAACCGAGAGCCAAATTATTTACTGATTTGGGGCCAGAAACTACTTGCTAATCCCCCCCTCAAATTGGCTAATTCGTAATATTTGCTCTATGATTCTCTTCGCAACATTTGTTCTGTAATGATAACCATTTCCCCTTCTTTTCTGGAGTTGACAGTTCAGAAACATATACCGGATTTCTGTGATTGACGATATCGGATTCCTTAATTAACTTTTTGCCAATGGACAACTCGTGCAGTTATCTGTCTTCGGCTGTCACGCCGCCCAATTTGATCGTATCATCGGCTCGATCCATCTTTACGCTGTTGTAAAACGTATCTGCTTATTTTTGGCATTAACGATGTTATACTTACTGCATTCAATTTTTCTTATTTTACATTCTCCCTTATTTCATTGTTGGCCACGGCTGGGCTGATCTCCTGTGGTGACGGATCGAAGCTTCTAGATTATAAAAGACTATCCCTATGCAAGACACATTGCCACCAACTGACTGGCATATAAAATCTGCCATAATTGAATGATTCACATGACGGACCGGGCTGAGGCTTCATCGCCCATAATGCATGCATAAAAGTAGCCCTAAAAGGAACACAACATATGTTTAAAAAGTGGTGGCTTATATGCTATTTTGTCACATCGGCACGTGGCCAGTTATTGCATGGAAGTGCGAGCGAAACCTTTCGAGGGAATACTCTGCACTGAAGCAGGTCCCCTTGGGGACGGTTGCACGGGTGACCGCATTGCTTTACCTGAACGTTTGTTTAAATCCCTTATTGTTCCCCTCTTTTCAACTTCTTTACTATCTTAAACTTGCCAATTACTTTAATATCCGTTTAGGATCCATTGTATAAGCGCGAACAGTTGTTTATTTTGTGCGATCCTGCTGTACACAGTGACCAGACCACATAGTTGGACTATGCCTCGCATCGCCAAGGAATATACAATTTATTTATAACGATCGGCGAACGCTGGTCATGTGGTACCTCGCGATTGGGTCACACAATCTCCAGTAACTAAGTGACACCAATCACCGATGAGTCACCACCGTCTTCCCGTAAGGACAATTTTCTCGTCTTAAATCATCGAGTTATGTCCAAGCAGCATCCGTGGTCGTAGGTGTGAAGTCCGTACCAGGAGTAGGCCAGAGTGACACAAGCTACGATGGATGAAAAGGATGTTATCTGAACCGCAATTCAGATTCTTCTACTCAGTTGGGTCCGAAAAATGAGCTATATATCCGCGTCATCTGTGATTGTCTCACTCACTGGGTCGTTCAGTTACCGCAATTCAAACATGGGGTGCTCAGATCATCACGCCCAACCGGTACGCGAAGTAAGAACTTCTGCTAGAATCAAATTCGATAATTTACACCAACAAGGAGATCGTCAAGCACACGATCTGAAGCATTAGCAGTCAGGTGGACTCGTTGGAACTACTTTTTGCGTGTCTACTATTTCGTAGCTCCAATTTACAAACCTCCCGGACCGTTGCACCAAGGCAAAGTAGACAGAATTTGTTTTTGCAAGCATTCCGTCCAACAACCGCCGTAATTACACCTTCTTAGATGGCACCCCCGAAATTTCTCCGTTTTGCTGCCGCTGATTAAGCAAAACGAACTGGATGTATGCATCTGTTAGTGGTCGTTTTCTTATTGCGTTGTGCCAAATCCACCCACTCACTTCGCAGAGAACCGCTACCTTGTCCTTGCGGCTATCACGCTAACCTTGCTTGACCAAACAACAAAGATGGCCAATGAGTAGCAGTGCGTGGTTGGTAACGTCGGTTGCATTTAACTGACCAGTCACATAATCGATGCTTCCACTGTTTGTAAAAAGTTCAGGACACCACTGTTCTGCGCAATGGAAGTAATGACAATTGGAGTTCGAAATGAAAAATGACGAAGAGTTGATTCGGTTGATCGCTGCCTATCCCATCCAAGCAAAGGCGTTCTTGACGAATCTCCGTCGAAATGGGCAACGACGTGCTTGTGACGTCGCTAATCAAGTGGCCATAAGCGATTTACGAACTGTCGATGCTGGTTTTAACTGGACCAGTAGAGTCGTAAATCCGAACAACGATGTTCCGGCTCCGTTCTGTGCAGAAACTACTTACAACAGATTCTTCGGCTATGCGGACCGTACTTTCAGATGGGCTCAGCCAGTGTTACGATTTGGCGAAACGCCTGTCTTCACGGATTCCTTATTGTATCCCACGCAACAGCGTCGTTTGCGTAGCACTACGCATGAGGCATTTGCTCCCAAGCAAGTGAGTTCAGTCGATTTAGGATGAATGTTGTCGCTTACACATTCACCCAATAAATCATTATCAGCACAAGAGTGATGAATTAGAGACGCGTTCCTTCCATTTCTTACTAACTTCTTGGTGGCGTTATATGCATTTACCACACGGAAATTCAAATAAAAACATGCTGCCCTTGGTTTAAAATGAAATAGGTCACCTTATATGGGCCCGGAGTGATACATATTCTGCCGTAAGCAATTATCCTGCTTTATTTGACGGAATCGTCACCTGCGACACACTTCGGTACATATACGATTGGGACAGTGCAAGTTTGCGTGCTGGCACCTTGTATGCGAATGGTGAAGACGGGTGTTTTGGATGTATTAACGGTTGCATGCGTGGAAGATGGATGCACAAATGTCAAGATATGACCTAGTAATATATATATTGTGCTCCGATAGTCAAAATTTGTAAATTATATCCGGGGATGTAAGTAAACCCTTTATCTGCAACCCCAACAATCGTACATTAAAGAAAAGTTTTGGGGATCTCGGTACCTAGAGGAGTGGTGGTACGAAAGTAGAATAGAATCTAAGTTGCTCGCGCAGTACGAAGAGGCCGTGCCAAAAGCGGAATAGATCACACCTACGTAGACAACGTGCTCACATATGCATGACTGTCGATAGTTAGGTGTATGCAAAGATCGTTTTTGACAACATATATTTTGAAGTTTCCACGGTCGTTTTCCACCAACTCACAGATAATCTCAATTGTTCCGTTGCGGTGCATTTCGGAGACTGTGATGACAGTGATCCCATGCAATGGGCAAAAGCGATTAATACAGTTAACCGAGGTTACTCATTAATAATGCAATCTTGGATGAAGGCTTGCGATAAAAGCAGAAAAAGGTACATATTATTTGTGAATACTGAGAATAGAGAGCGAGAAGATAAAAATCAGTGTTTCGCCGTCGTAGGTGGATCAGGCACATGCGCGGAATCACGTCGCTGATGCCTGCGCGGTGGCAGAATATTGCAGCTGCACTACATTTTATCCGGGCGTGGTACGCTCCCTATACCTGTAGTCCGCAAAGTGGGCGTCAAGGAATCTCTCAAATTCCGACACCGATTTCGCCTTGACTAGCCTCTCCGGCAATTTGTTCCAGTATTTCACCGCTCAAAGCATAGAGGGTGGGCGATGTGCTTTAAATCCGGTAGCACTAGTTTGTACCGGTGTCCGCGTGTGCTGCTTGGTGCGCGAAGGTGCAGCAACTGCTTCAACATAGGGAGGTAGCCCAACTGCCGCATCTGGTGCGTCATAATGTGATCAACTCGAAGCCGACGATATGGCAGGGTATAAAATCCTGGTCGCCTACGTCGGTCCTCATACCACATACCCCGTAAACTGGGGATGAGCCGGGTAGCTACATGCTGGACCCGTTCCAGTCTCTGCACCTCACCTATTGTGTGTGAAAGAGAACAGACGAGTGGCAATCTCCTCGGACCAATTGCAGAAGCTGCCTCTAAGTGCTCAAAGCAGGCGTAGTCCGTTTGCATGCAGTCTGTTCGTGTTGTCGACAGACTTCAGATCACAGCGTGAGAGTACGCCTAGATCCTTTACGGAACTGGTGGGATGCAGCAGGTGGCCGACCAGGGTGTACGCACACCCATTACCACTCCTCCCCAGGCTCATAAACGAGGACTTGGCTGACCGGTAGGTCAGCTTCTGCTGACCACCGGGATAGGCGGTCGAAGTCCTGCTGAAAGACGTCACAGTCGCCGGAAGAATTAATGATCCTCCAAATCTTCATGTCACCCGCAAATAATACGCCGGGCGACCGAAGAAGCTGAGGTAGTTCGTTGATGTGGATCAGGATTAAAATGAGCCCCAGTACTGTGCCTTGGGATACGCCGCTAGTGGACGGGTACCATTCCGTTAGGTGGTCATCCACCTGAACCCGCCATCTTCCCAATACTGAAGTCATTGATCCACTGGTGCAGTGCGCCACACACATCCTCAGCTTGTGGAGCAGGATCTCATGGTTCACTTTATCGAAAGCCTTACTGAAATCAATGTAGATAACATCTACTGACTTCCCCCGGTTCAACGCTTGCAACCATTCCTGGCGCGTCAACAGCTGGTTAGTGATGCACGAGCGGCCCTTCATGAAGCGGTGCTGTGCCGGCGTTAGGAGGTGTTTCGACGCCAGCAGCTGGAGAAGACCGTTTTCCACAATCTTCTCGGGCACCTTCGCCAAAACAGAGGTGAGACAAATCGGTCGGTAATTGTCCACATTGCGTGGGTCACCGCCTTTTGGAATCGGCTTCACTACCGAGCATTTCCAGTCGCTCGGCAATGCACCCTCGGACAGCGATCTGTTGAACAGATCCGTCACGGCAGGCGAAGTGATGGCCGATAAGAACTTCCAAATTAGCGGCTGCAGTCCATCGGGTGCGGCAGGTTTTATGCCATAAAGACTGGCGAATAGACTGCGGCCATCTACACCGCAATCCAGGCCTTCGAGTCCAGTAGGGGCTGCACACCTCGACCTTGGCATAGGTGCATGCCCAATTGTATATACGGAAACGAAGTGCTCCGCCATTACGGACGCACCTTCAGTGCTAAAGGCCAGAGGCTGTCCGTCAGTGCCCTCTAACACAGCTACGTCACTTGCGGGCCTCAGACGCCGCTTCATGTAAGCAAAAATCTTGGAGGCCGTCTTCGCTGAGGTTGCAAGCTCCTCTTCGAACTGCTGATGCTTTTGTGCTGTTGCATGGATTTCGCTGCTTTTTGTACGCCACATAATCGTCGGCAGAGCCAAAGACGAGGAATTTATTTCACACCGCATCGCCGTCGAGCCAATTGACTATACTCCCTGTCGAACCAATGTGGCTTCACCGGTCCAGCTTTCCGATACTTGAGGGGTACGAATCGAGCGCACAACCATTGCACACCCTCTTTTATAACAGACTTCAACAGATGAATCCTGCGGCAGTGACCAGTTTATTACACTGGCGACTCGATTTAGACTATTTAAGTCGGTCTTCTAATAATTGTAGGACGGCTCCTGCAGACGCGAGTAGGGCAGCGGCAGCTCTAGGCTGACTAACACCATCGAGTGGTCACTAGCGGCCAGAGGCTCCAGGACCTGAATTTCATGTCCACGGTGCTCGCCACTCGTTAGTAGTAGGTCCATGCACGATGGAGTGGAATGCGGTATAACGCGCGTCGGTTGGCAGACATGTTGTGCTGCCCCAGTTTCAAATACCATCTCCGCAAATTGCGCCTCGACTTCACAGTGCCCGGCAAGAAACTGAACCTCAGGCCACCGTATACGAGGAACGTTAAAATCACCCATAAGCAGGAAGCGGAGCCGACTCATGTAGTTTCTGGCATGCAGCAACCAATCCAGGCATCGACTTCTCGGGCTGCGATAAGCAGCACCTAAAAACAGTTCACTCTCTCAAGCGGATCGAGCACCACAACTGTTCGCACAAGCCATCTTCGCTACGGTAGTTATGTACCAGTCTCCCGCACAGCGAGGACCGAATGTATAACAGCACGCCGCCTCGATCGTTTGATAGTCTGTCACACCGGAAGCACGAGTAGCCACTGATCTGGACTTCCTGGGTTGTGACCTCAGGATTTAACCAGGTTTCGGCCGGACGACGGGGGCAACGAAGTGAAATACATCGTCACATTTGTTCATTAAGCCACAGACATTTGTGAAGGCTACGCGCAGGCCGCGGTAGGAACCGGCAGGCGCGCATGAAGCGTTATCGATCCAGGGAACTACCCGCAAATTTACGATGTGGAGATTGGTTTCTCCACTATCAGTCCGCCGCTTCAACTTCACCATAGCGGACTTCAGTTTCTCTCTGTCCGACGGATCCAAATCGGGACGAATATCGATTTTTAGACCTCTCATCCTACCGAGGCGGGATAGCATCAGCCTCAGACTCGTTGCATCAACTAAGGCGACTCGCAGAGGCTGGGATTCCTCCTCGTCTTTCTTTCCGAGACAGGTGATTTGCTTCACCCGCAACCGCTGTTCATTCACCTCCAGAAGCCTATCAATGAGGCTCTACAGAATATCCACGTCGTGGTCATTATGAGCCTGAGGACTAGCATCTGTCGACTCAGGCGCGTGACATATCATAAGGTTACAACGCCGCTTATTGCTGGCACGTCTTCTTTTGGCTTCGCTGCATTCTCCATTGGCCTTCAACACCTGTGCTATCGTACACAGGTATGTTAGTGTCCGTAGGAGGCAACACAGGCACGCCAGCTGTGTCTCCAGCAACGGGTGGACATCGCGCTGGAGAGCCTGCAGCCGGGGTGCAGGTGGGCTCGTTTGAACATAGAGGTGGTTGGGTTTCCGCTTGCTTGGATGAACCCACGGAGATCCTCCCTATGGAACGTTTCGCCCGTCTTGTAGGCTCGCGCGGCTTCTCGGCTGTTTGTGACTGCACAGTGGCTTGGCATTTCTTGCACAATATTTGAACAAAGTCATGCTGGATTTCACGCAGTAGTTTAAAATGATCTAAAGACAAACCAATACACGAAATGTGGAAATCCACACCACACATGAGGCATGTAATAGCATTGGATCTATGCCCAACTATTTTGCAACAAGTGCCACAGGTAGTCAGCTTTGTCATTACTGATGACAGCAGATGTGACGGTAAAGATGATACAGTAAATTAAAAGTACGCAATAAATGTACCAAGGTAAAATACTTGGACACGAAACTAATACACACAGATCCAGAATCACAAGAGAAATTGAATTTGACAAAAGTAAACACGAAAAATCCGATCTGCACAAACTACTGAACGATGCAAGCTGGCCTGTCAAATAGAGCGAGTATAGCCGTCCGGCGAGCGGTATTCGCAGTCACAGTCCAAAGTGAGTGACAAAGACCTCACACTAAGAGGAATAAAAAGCGGTTGAAAGCTAGCATTGAGCTTTCAACCTTTTAGCTGCGGTAACCACGTAATGTGAGGGGTAGTGTACAGATAAGATGTCAAGGCAGAATGAAGTGCTAG